GTGACGTGACGATCTTCGAGAGAAGGGTCAGGAGGAATTGGTCTCTTGAAAATGCTCCTGTAGAGTGGGAAGCCAGGAGACAACGTGAAGTGACGTAGGGTTACCAACTACTGTATAGTTACTTACTTGTTAAACGACGCTGGGAGTATCTCAGTCTGTGCCGTGCTGAATGAATTGCAGTTGATAATGATGGAGACTGTAGTGACCTAATTTTAGGGATGGGGTACCGAGGAAAACCACGAAAACCTCATTCAAGGTTTTAACCCGGGGCCTCTCTAATACCAACCATCGGCGCAAACTACTGCCAGATAGTCGACTACTTTTTATATAACTTATAGTACCTCCAGGAAAGTGTTTTAAATTAGGCCACGACCACTTCCTTCCACATACTCCCATTCGACGATATATAGTCTGAGCTACTGGAAAAGCGTCGTTAAATAACCTATGAATAAATATAAAATGTGGCTTGTGTAAGTCTTCGTGTGTGTAGTCTGTAGACGCGACTGACCACCGTAACAGAATGGGTCGACCGCAGGGCAGGCCTCGCCTTGCTCTCGGAACACAAAAGAAGTGGCATTGCATTTGCGTCGTTGAAGCGTTTTTGGTGGCTGTTGTTGTCATGGAAACAGAAAGGTCTGACTGCCTTCACGTGAGTCGGTATCGAATTCTACTTTTATTTGTCTCATTATTTTGTTTACGGAGGTTATTATCATCGTCATCCCGTTCTCATGTTGCATTTTTTCGGGTTTTGTTTCAACGTAACTTGGGAGTCTTTTTATTTCTTCGTTGATGTCCGTCCGTCGAATCCGCGCTATTGGCGACGAGAGTACCAGATATTTTGTATTTCCCATTTGTGTACGGCCAACGACGTGGTGTGGAAATAAACAACTCTTCAGTCCCGTTTTAAACAACGATTTGTTTGTCGGATTTTCACGAGTTTTTGTAATTCTTTAGAAAAATATTTGCTCAGAACAGGAGTTCCTGACCTCATTTTCTTGTGTCCCTGGAACTTCCGCTGCCAACGTTGGCAGTACTGGGATTCGCACCGCTGTACTTGCAACAGATAATCACACCAGATCTCCCTTGTCTTCCTGTAACGAGTAACGTTGAGACTTTTTTTAATCTTCAGAATGTGCACGGCTGTCACAAGGCGGATGTGAGATTTAAATGAGTGGTAAGGCTTTCCTACCAAATCCACGAACATTCGGTGATAACGATCAAGTCAACAGATGCCACAATTCGCCCGTCTTTGTGCCGTAAAACCTTTGTGTGGTACACCGTGATGACTTATCTCGTCACAGTCCGCAACGCTTTGGTGCATCTGCAACTCTTCCGACACCCGTGTTTTGCGTACGTCGAAACACAGGCGAGAGCCATTCGCTGATTGTTTCCTGCAACTCGGACTTGTCTGTGGGTATCGTTTGGTCGTAATAATTAATCAGCGCAGCTGATAATAAACGTCGTTAATTCGATTGTCTTTGTGGGCAGAAACAGATTCTTTAATCATTACTTTCTGTGGGCTTCGTTGTTTCAAGTTGCAGTTCATTTCGGTTCTTTGGTTCCGCCACTGGAATTTGTAGTAGTTTCGTATGTCCAATTTTAATTTCATTGATGGATATTTTAATTTGTAATTTAGCGTTTTGTACCCAGAGATTTGTGGCGGTGCGACGTGATTATAAAAGTCACTCTGTTTGAGCATAACAACCGACCAGCGTTTTGAATGCCAAAGAAAGAAGTTGAAGTTAACTTCGCATGTATATAGAGCCAGACGAAAGTTATACTTAAAATGATGTTATTGTAATTTGAGATCTGAATGTGATGATAACCTCGCCAACAAATTTCCCGCCTTTATGTGAGTCGACCTTTCATTGTGCACGCAAGAGCCCGCCACTTGAACCTCACACCCTGGTTCTGCAGGATCCATTTTAGTATTATCCTTCCAGCTGTGCCTTGGTATCAGAGGTGTTTTCCCTGGAGTTTTTATGAGTAAAACTTAGTACGAATTTCGTATTTCTCCGTCCGTCTTAGTCTCGCAGCCCCCCCTCGTTTCAAAATATTCGTTTGTGTCTTTTTTTAGAGAGAGGGACCAGGTTTCGCACCAATAAAAAACAGATCTGTAGTTTTGTTTGTTTTGTATGTACAGTTATGTATAAATTCACATTAATTTGCATCCCTCGTAAAACGTGGGGTAATGGTTTATTTTTCCGTGCCTCGGTCTGTTTCTCGTTCTCAATTGAACGCTGTTTTTCTTGGAATAATGCTCGCTGGGACTTGCAGCTGTCCTGAACGTCAGGACCTGTTCCTGGGCTCGTTTAGTGGGGGAAGAATAATTAAAGATACTGGTACGCTGTCGTATACGGTAATGCAAATTAATGATTGACGCATCTCTTGAGAATTTATTTGTTCTAGATTGAAACCTCAAGACAAAGAGCATCGCTTTTTAGGTTATGGCATTTTAAATATAGTTTCAATCAGTAGCACTCCTCAGCATAGAATAGTTCAAAATTGTGTGTGGTACTAGGCATTCCAAAAAAAATATGCCACTTTTGTTAAGAGTATTTTTGTACAGTTTGAAACATCGCGTGAAATCGATATCCGAGGCCCTCATCTATGATAAAGGCGAGCCCCCCCCCCCCCAAATAAATCATTAATATTAAGGGCGGATAAATTAGAAAAACATTTAGATTTTGAAACTGTGCATTTGCAAAATGGATGTTTAGCGCCCAGATCACTTGCCAGCACTGTTTTTAGAGTCTCCACCATGTGGACCAAACAAAGAAGGCTTGCCTCTGGAATAAGGTTCAGTTGCGTGATCTGTTTAGACATTTGGACGAGCGATTAGCCTGTCGCAAGACCTCTTGCCTGTACACAGGACAGCACAACATCCATGGCTTGAGTGGGATTCGAACCCACGGTCCCAGCGACCAAGCGGCAGAAGGCCCACGCCTCAGACCGCGCGGCCACTGTGACAGGATTTTGTTTTTATTACCTGAATTATTTTAGCTTATGTTACACTAAATAGAATTAGTTCTATTTCACTCCTGTTTTAGTTTAGTTTTCTACATGTGCGTTCCTTATTTACGTTTTATCAAGCTAGAACGTGAAATGCGCTGTTTGTTGTACCAGTTTGAAGTAATTATGAATAAGAAGAATTCTGTCTTCTGAGTTGTTGCGCTGTGTAGTCTGGTCCATGTTAACCAACGTTTCGGAGGTCATACTGCCTCCTTCATCAGAGTATAAAGATTTCTGTCTTCTGGGTTGTTGCGCTGTGTAGTCTGGTCGATGTTAACCAACGTTTCAGAGGTCATACTGCCTCCTTCATCAGAGTATAAAGATTTCTGTCTTCTGGGTTGTTGCGCTGTGTAGTCTGGTCGATGTTAACCAACGTTTCAGAGGTCATACTGCCTCCTTCATCAGAGTATAAAGATTTCTGTCTTCTGGGTTGTTGCGCTGTGTAGTCTGGTCGATGTTAACCAACGTTTCAGAGGTCATACTGCCTCCTTCATCAGAGTATAAAGATTTCTGTCTTCTGGGTTGTTGCGCTGTGTAGTATGGTCGATGTTTACTAACGTTTCGGAGGTCATGCTGCCTCCGTCATCAGGGCGATGAACCAGACTACGCGGCGCAACAACCCAGAAGACAGAAATCTTCAGACTCGCCGCTGTGAAAACCTCAAATCTTACAATTATGAATAAGTTGCGTTTTTTTTGCAGGAAGCCATTGCACTGTTGGATCCGATGACCAATGACCCGGTTAACTTTGTCCGCCAGGGTGCGCTGATAGCGTCTGCCATGATCATCATCCAGCAGACGGAACACACGTGCCCTAAGGTAAGGTTCAAACTGTGCCTACTGCATAACATGCGCACAGAGCAGTGCTCTTGTATTTCTGATATGTTGGTAGGAGTGTGCAGTGTCACTGCAGGCGTGTTCCAGGTTGGTAATTTTTTTTTTTATAAAAATGTTCAAGATTTGATTGTGGTGAAAAATTAAATCATGGTCTTGCAGGTGGTTATTATTGTTTTGGGGGGGAGCTTTCTGCTTCAGTCTTGAGGGTAGAAATTACCAGAAGACCATTACCCATTTGTATTGATTCCTTCACTTGTCTGCACTGGCAGGATTATTCTCTGCCTCTCTGAATGGTTCATAGAGATCATAGTTGGGACCATAAATAAGTTTCAGTAGAAAAGATAAAAGTCAAGAAAACATGTTTGTTCGGATCGAGTGAGGTTTGGTATTAAGTAACAGATAAACTTAATGACTATTGGATCTGCCAGAGACGATCTTGGATATTTAAAATACAGAATAAGACTGAAGAGTTTAGGAACAAATGGATACAACACTTAAACAAGATGGATGACTGACAGATTCCAAAAATAGCACATGAATACGAGGGTCTCTCCAAAAGTAATGTACCTTTTTTTTAAAAAAAAATTCCCTTTTACTGTACCGAGTTGCTGTTCATATAGAACACACACACATTCGTCCCGCACAAATTAAAACTTAGTTCATCCTTCTCCCGCAAGTGGCGCATGTGTGTCACTCGTTAAACATGGCTGCTCTCCTAGACGTTGTTAGAAACAACATTCTGTTATCGAGTTCCTGGTGTGTGAGAACGAGACGGTGGGAAACATCCACAAGCGATTGCAGAATGTTTACGGGGAGGATACTGTCGATCGCAGCACAGTTGGTCCCTTGGCACAAAGAACATCAGGCAAAGGTTGACATGTAAACATTCGCGATTTGCGGCAGGCCACAGTCAGCGCGGACGGACGCCAGTGTTTAGATGGTGAACAACATGATCATGGCGGACAGACGCATAACTGAAACAATTGTCACTCCGACCGGGCATTGCAGAAGCCAGTGTGTGTGCAGAACAGTTGGGATTTTAGAAGGTCTGTGTGAGGTGGGTCCCCCTGCCCGGTCGCACGTCAGTTTGAAGACCACGGAGACGATCACAAAATTGAAAAATTGAGGTGGACTGTTGCCACACCCACCATACAGTGGAGTGACCCTCGTATAAACCGAGAGGAAGAAGAGAACGTAGGACACCCAGAAAAATATCGGTTTAGACGTGAGCCATGACAGGATATTTAGTCTATCCCATGAAGCTGACAATGAACTTGATGTGTTAACTTTTATTTTGTAGGTGAAAGACTTCCGTGCGTTGTATGCCAAAGTGATTGTGGACAAGCACGAGGATGTGATGGCCAAGTATGGTGCCATCTTAGCACAGGGCATCATTGATGCAGGTGGGTGGTAATCCATTATTAAATGCCTCCTTTTCTGGGACAAGCTTTCGCAGAAACCACCTTCAGCAATAGTTCATGGTTGCCAGTGACTGTGCTGTAGGTGAAACAAATTTAATTTTAAATTTAAGCCCTCACTGAATGTTAAATGTTAATATGAGAAAAGAAGACGAATAAATTACCTGTTTCCATGAGCAGTTAATGGTTGTTCACCTGATCAAGAAAAATTGTGAGGCCGAACATTTGTAACTGTGATCATAAGAGCCAGTTCAGTCCAGTTGATTAATTTTAATAATTTGTACTTATCCGTACCTACGTCTCCAAGTGACGTATTCCATTTCCAGATAAAGTTTAGTTCACTTTCTTTAGGCCCTGGTAATTAATCACTTGATGAGCACTCTGACAGGAACGTCATGTATTTAAATATATTAGCGGAAACTGCGCTTGTAACAAAGTTTGTAGATGTTCGGTCCCCGTACTTCATTGTTACAGGAGGTCGGAACGTGACGGTGTCCCTGCAGTCGCGGACTGGCCACACCAACATGCTTGCGGTGGTTGGCGTGCTGGTGTTCACGCAGTACTGGTACTGGTTCCCTCTGGCGCACTGCCTGGCCCTGGCCTTCACACCAACCTGTCTCATTGCTCTTAACGCTCAGCTCAAGGTACGTTGGCCCGTGCCTCGTACCCAAAGATGGAGGAGACACTCGAGGTTAATCAAGTCATAACCTAGATTTGTTTTGCAGCAATAGGGGCATTCCCATTGGCTCTTCTTTCTTCATCCGTCTGTAAGGACGTAACAACTGCAGATGAAACAGTTCAGCGTCTGCCAAATTGAGGGCCTGAATATGTCATTTGGATGTATCGCGATTCATACTCGTATTTTATGTGTACGAGCCGGGGTAGCTCAATCAGTATAGTGACTTGACTACGGACTGGACGACCAGGGTTCGATCTCTGACGGGCGCAGAGGATTTATCGTCGGGCATCTGTGTCCAGGCTACCCCGCCCCTTGTCCGGTGGGTACTGGGGTCCTTTTCCTGGGGGTAAAGAGCGGCTGGGATGTGAAGCTGACCGCTCATCCCCATCTAATGTCAAGGTTAAAAATGAGTGGGAGCTATACCGCCTCTCCCCCCAAGTGCTTGCATGGTGTACGGCAGGACGGCTTTACTTTACTGATATTCCTATTTTGTTTTCGCTTCATGTTCTTGAGTTTGAGTTGTGATCACCAGATTCTCTTTAATGCTCTAATTTATTACTCTGCCCCTTTGATTTTCCCTTCTGTTATTGTTAGAAATCTCACGTCTGCTGCCATTAATCGACGAGACTTTTTATTATCCGCGGTCATAACAAAATTGTAATTGAAGCTCGCTTTTGTTTCTGATCAACATGTTCACATAACATAAAAACTATTTTTATCCCAAACTATAATCCAGATATTGATTTAAATCAGAAGTTGCTGACTTCAACATTTACTCCATTTCTTTAATAACCCGATAATATTAAAAATATGGAAGCTTCTGCAACTAATTGTTCTATTTATTTATTGAAATGAGTTAAGTTTGTGTTTTGTTTAACTACGACATGTCCGAAAGTAAAAGATCGCCTGCTTTCAGATGCCGAAACTTGAGTTCCGTTCCAATGCTCGTCCCTCGATGTTTGCTTACCCTCCGCCGCTGGAGGAAAAGAAGCGAGAGGAGAGGGAGAAGGTGACGACGGCCGTGCTCAGTATCGCCGCTCGGGCTCGTCGTCGAGAGGCCGGACGCGGTCTGCAGCGCGAGTCTGATAAGATGGAAGTGGTAAGCACTTTCACCAGTTCAGTACATATGCACTGAACTTTCTTCAGCAAAAATGTTATTAATGAAAAGCATCATTCGCATTGAATCAGCTGGGTTGTTAATTTTTATAGCCCTTAAGAGTTGCAGTTTACGTTATTTTTCGGTACACTTTCTCCCCTATTCTTTCACCGTCGTGTACTGTAGAACTGTGATGCTCCGAAAGCAGGTCCTTCGGAATATTGCTGTTCAGAATCAACATCAGCGCTTCAGAGCGATTTTCTCTGTCCGTGTAATAAGTTTGTTGTGAAAAAAATAGTTTGACGGAATTTGGTATCGAGTAAGCGTGCTCACTGAATTTGTTATAATCCTAAGTCTAAATTGCGTTAAATGTGTTTGTCGATAATTTACTTCCTTGATAGAATTTGTGTCATTGAATTTAGGATGAAGACAAGGATGAAGGAAAGGAAAAGAAAGATGAAAAGAAAGAAAAGGAAGACAAGAAGGAGAAAGATAAGGATGAGAAGAGAGCAGGATCTGTTGAGAAGAAGGCAACTACTGCAATCAAGGAGGAGGAGACCAAGAAAGAACCAGAACCCAACTTCGAGATTCTGAACAACCCAGCACGAATCATGAAGTCGCAGGTGGGAGGAGAGATGAGGCGGAGTACAGGCTTATCATTTATTTATTTATACTTTTTCTTTCATAGTCGCAGTTGTCCTTTTAATCCTTTTGCTGGCATCGATGCAGAGTTTAAACCATGTGGGCGGAGATTCTTTTCAAAAGAGGGCGGTGCTTTGGATGCATTACATGTCTGAATTGGTCGTTGATTTTCATCTAAACGTTTAAAAGAAAAAGGGCTAGCGCCAGAGTTACGTAGAAGCCAGAGCTTGGGACCTGACTATTCAAGGGGCACCCGAATGAAGAGGTTTTTCTCAAAATACCTGTTGTGTGTTTGAGGAGCCCAAAAGTTAAATTCCAAAAAATAAGTTGGGATAAAATTTTGGATGTTTTGAAACTTTAATAACAGACATTGAATTTGGGCCTGTGTGGAAAGCGGCCTTTGTATCCGAAAGAAAAGATTGGTGCCAGTAACTTGACAGAATTTAGCAAAACAAATAGTTGGTTATTAATCGACTATTATTGTTGCATCCACGATGGACGGGCGCCAGTTTATTGTTCGACGAAAGAACCGTCAGGACTACGGACACCAGAATTAAAACGTCTGTTGAACTGCCGTTTATACAAAAAACAGAAATCACCATTTTAGAGCCAGATGGTTAGCCCTGGTTTTCCTTCGTCCTCCAGGCAGATGTTGGGATAGTACCACATTCTGTTTTTCATTTACCTTTACGGACTTTGTATTGCAGCTTAAGCGGAGTTCGTCTCACTCTGTGTTGAACTCGCTTAACACCAGCCGCTAATCTGGAGTCGCAGTAAGCTGGTTTAAGTCTCCTTTTTTCCATTCAGTAGAGGTTAAACTTCCTGTCACTCTGAGCTACTGATAACATCATTAAATAAACTACAGATAATACATGAATTTTTTGCACGGAAGTAAAAATAAATTAACTGCCCTAAAATCAAGATTTCTAGATATTTTATTCAAATAATCGTTTTTGGTAAAAAAATCCTCCCAGTACATAATTCAGTTTTGCATGGGGTGAGAATAAATGTTAATGACATTTTACGTAAAGTACTGACGAGTAAAAAAGAAATGTTTTATTTTTCAGCTGAAGGTTCTGCAGCAGGTTGACGGAGCGTGTTACTCTCCTCTCAAGGATCTGACTATTGGAGGAATCGTTATGGTCCGTCATGTGAAACCGGGTGCTGCTGAGGAGCTGGTGGAGCCGGTTGCCGGTCTGTACCATAAGAATATTATTTTTAATCAAGGAGTAGCGTAGGAAAATCTATTATGTTAGTAATATCAACCTTGACGACAGATTGGATAAATACAGAAAACGTTACCTGGTGTAATCTTCTTTTATCAAGAAACAGAAGTTTTTCGCTCTTAGTGACATCTTCCTTCTGAGTAGGAAACCATATTTCACGGTTGTACAAAATTCTAATCGTGTATGAACCGAATGACTATCAAGAATTTTTATTTTTTATTTTTAATAAAACTCATGTAATTATACTGAAAATCGCGCTTCTGTTTGAAAACTCACGTAGAATACTGGACGGCCAAAACGGAAGCAAAATGAGACAGAGAGGAGTGAAGAAGAAATTATAAAGGAATTGCAGATTAATAGCTTTACGTGTGGCCTTCTGGAGTAAATGGTACGACGGATTATTTTGAATTATGGTCATGTTAGAATACATGTAGAAACATGGATCGACTAAAGGCGATTTGAACAGAACGGAATCCCTCAAGTTGGTGGTGGTGGTCACCAGTCTGTGTTCACATTGCATATATTTGTGTGATGATGGCACAAATAAATGGGCACTGGAGTTGATCCTTCACTGTCATATGAGTTGCGTCTCTTTGCAGCCTTTGGACCCAAGCCAGATGACGACAAGGAACCTGAGCCCCCAGAACCGTTTGAGTACACCGAGGACTGACTAAACTGACTCCAGTCAGCCGTGCGTCTGTATGTAGCACTTGCCGCTTCAGACACGAAGACGTCGGCATGAATCACTTATGCTTTTGTTCCGGCATTATGTTTATTCGTATGTATCCCTATTCAATCATTAAGGCACCTGTCAAGTATTTGGTCTGCTGTTAGCTTGTGCAATTAACAGACATTAATAAAGGTATATTATGAGCAATCCAGAGGAAATTTTGTTTTACACGAAAATTCTTTCCGTTGCCTTTTTTACTTGTCAGATTGTATGGAAATTGTTTCAAAATGTTATTGATCCTTTACCTCTTCTTGTTTATTTCAATTAATTTTTTTGTGTCTAGAAACGTGGCAGATCCGATCGGTCGCCATGGCCCAAAAGTGTTGATATGGCCTTGAATGTTATTAGGAAGTTGCAATTTTACTTTTCACCAACATCCGTAAGCAGAACATGGCTACTTTTTAAAGTCTGGTCTGAACATGTCTGCGTCGTCCACTGTAACCTTAAAATAATTTTTAGTGAGGGTCGTTCATCTTATAAATCTTAATATTTCTGCACATCTTTAAAATTTCAGGTCCTTGCTTTTGCCGTCATGCTGATGGCGACTTTTGGTATTTGATAACAGCGATTCTGCCTGATATACTGATATCGCAGTTGGTAAGAGAAGCTGTAAACACACAAGTAGATGAAAGAAGATGGCCGCCTTCTGGGTTGTAGTGCCGCATAGTCTGGCACAAGTTTACCGACGTGTCAGAGGTCCTTGCTGCCTCTATCATCAGAGTGATCATCGTGCTACAACTCAGAAGACAGTCATCTTCATATTCATCGCAACCTCCAGTCTTTCTTCGTTGATGAATTCCTAAACTTTGAGTAACCAATATTACCAACAGTTGTGCACTTTAACAAAGACTTGCCAACCATCCTAGTTTGTTCAAAATATTCCTGGCTTTAACAGCTTCATGTTCAAAATAAGTCAGTGATCTGAAAGTATGAAAAATATATTAGTATTTGGCTATTTCACCTTATGAGAATTACGACAGTACATTTTTCCTATAGGCTGGTATGCAAATTAGGGCTACTTTTCTGCATTAAAATCAGTCGGACATGATAAAGAAGATGAGTTATTAAAATTGCCCAGTACTTTGCGTTGCTGAGAGAAATAGAATTTGATAAGGCTTGAGGTTCTCACAGCGGTGAATATGAAGATGTGCGCCGCCAGAACCAACCAGACCACTAACTCGGCCCTTTTCAGGGCCTTTATCCATACAACTACACTCACCTTTCTCTCCCTCTCCCACCCTCGCCCACGTGCTACCATTGGTCCACTCCCATACCTGCTCCCATTGGCTCGGGGCAGGCTACACCTTTCACTTCCCTGCCTATAAAATCCAACTCCTCACACCCTATTGGCATATTCATCGCCCTGATGACGGAGGCAGTATGACCTCTGAAACGTTGGTTAACATCGACCAGACTACACAGCGCAATAACCCAGAAGACAGAAATCTTCAGAATTTGATAACCTTGATGAAATTTCATTGGAAGTATAAAATACAGCATTACGCTACACTTAGATGTCGTAAAACTGATTTGGAATGGAGCCTGCGCTGAAACAAACTTTAGGCATTCTACAGCAACTTCTGCATAAGTTTGCATAAAATTTAATATTTGTAGCGGGTCAAAATCCCATGTATGAAGGTAGGCGTGTTTCTAAAAAGTCATAAATATTTTTAGATTGTGTCATTTGAACTGAGGGCATTTTAAAAACTGCGTACACACGCATGAAATGTGTTATAAAAGCTCTTCTTTCTTTTTCTTCTGCTTCTCATTGATGAGAAGGAAGTAGGTAGCTTCATAAGGGCCAGGTGTGTCTTGACAAAAGTTGGGATGATTATCTTGAAAGGTTTTCGTGGTTGGTCAGCTGTCCAATCACAGATTGACAGGAAAACGTGTGTTTGTTATCTCCGTGAATTGGAATAAGGATCCAGTAGGAATATATCTGGTCAGGTAACAGTTTGAGAAGTATTTTCAAAGTGCAACAAAGCAAACACAAAACAGCAGAAGAATGGGAATAAAAAAGGATGCACGGACAATTTCTGTGTAGCGTAGGTGAAGAGTAGGCGCCAACTACGTAAAGAATATGAAGTTGTACGAGGCATTAGGCTTTGAAACAGTACAAAGTTGGTACTCGGACAGATACTTAGGTCGGCGTGTGAATGTGAAGATATGTCAGTATTATGGAATCAAGTAGTAGAACAGGTAAATTCTAGAAAATATGTCAGGCATAATAATTAAAAACAAGAAAGATAAAATTTGCGTACTGATCGATGCAGCAGTACCATCAGAGAGGAAGGAGACCAGAATTAATTAAGACAGAAATTCAGCAAATGTGGCATATGAAACGCCTTGTCTTTAGGGCCGCGGGAATTGTAACTGGAAGTAATAGCAGGGGAGCATTCTCTACAAAGAAAACAGCCGTACTAGGAACACAAATTTCTTAAGTACATCTTCACAAAAAACACTTTTTTTAAACAGTTGCCATTTTTCTACTGATTTTCTTTTGGATGTTAAATACTGTTTTGGTATCTGTTGAATTTTCACAGAAGATAACTTTGTGTGGAATGAAGATAAAGTTTAACTAATTTTAAATTCAGGCTGTAACTCAAAGAGCCCGTTACGAAGATCAATTGGTTGATGCTGGTTAAAGAAATAGCTCTACTCTGAGAATGATGTGAAACCCATAACAGACCCTGTGGACAAAATACAGAGTTATTGATCGTTAAAGCAGTTACCACTGCGCTGTAAAGGGTTTAGGGTATCTATTTTCATGACTGGTGTGACTTTCCTCATGGCAAGGCGTGCCAGACTTAGTTCGGGGATAACGAATTCAGTATGTTTTTACAGTGTAGGTTATTTCAAATTTGTCGTTCATTGTTTTCTTATTATAACCTATATTTAAATATTGGGGTTGTTTGATCATTGGTATTAAAGAGGGAAAGCAGAGGGCCACGTAATACTGGTCCTTGAGGAACTACATAATTTGCAATGTCCCAGTCTGACTGCATAATTTAAATTAGGAAATTAAATAATGTCTACTGGGTGCTATTTCATTTTTTCGCAGTGGCAAGTATGAAGAACTTTGTCTTCTGGGATGTAGTGTGGTAGAAGTTTACAAAGGTTTCAGAAGTACTTACTGCTACTATCATCAGGGTGATGAATTATCATTTCCTCTTGTTACAGATGCATGATTTTTCAGCCTGTATAAAAATGGTGCAAAAGCTTGCATCTCCAACCACATCTCAGTTTCATTACTCACGCAATTTCCCAAAGTTTTTTAGAAAGTTAAATACGAGACTGTAACTTCTACTTTGTTTAACAGAAGTGACGTTTGCACTAACCGAGGCTTCTACGCTGAGGATCCAACAACTAATTGACGGCTCTGGCATAGCCAACTTTGGTGTAGGTGCTGTAACCATATGAAAAGTAAAATCAATTCATATATTTCAAATTGGCATGATTTATGTAAAGGTTCCATTTGTGGATAAAAACGTGTTTTTGCTTGTCTGCAGGTATGTACCATAAAATTAATACTTTTAATCCAAACATTATTTTCGTAGCAAATTGATTAGGTGCAGTAATGCCCCAGTATAGTTTGTGTAATGTAATTGTAGTTGTGATGTTTAAAACATTATTATCTTGAGGGATTATTGCAATGAGAAGGTATGCTTTAAGACTGTAAGTTAGACAGTGGCAAAATTTCTATTTCGTTTAGTTAAGCATTTAAATGCGCCGTGTACATGTCCGCCAAAGAGTGACGATAGAGAACATGTCGGCACAGACGAGCAAAGTGTGAGCTGCCATCTATCATTCGGAGGCGGCGACATCAGTGGTGCTTTATTTGCCGACTCATGCCTGGTATGGAGTGCAATCAATGGCAGTTATGTATAGATGTTCCAAATGTTGTAATATCTTATTTGGCGGGAACGGAGTTGATTTGAAGCCTTTTAATTTTATTTAAATTTGACCTAAACTTGAGTCAAATTAATGTGTTCAGTTTGCGATTCTGTGGATGTGATTTTTCCAAGGTTGCGTACGTATGATTCGTGACGTAAGCAGTATGTTACGAAATAAGGTCAAGGAAGGAATGACTAGTAAGAGTCTGTATCGTGCATATTCCATTAACATAGATTGTCTGTAGGCGTCAGAACGTAGAAGCGAGGAGTGTTCGAATTGCCTTGGAAGTTGTTTCTATTCCCAACATGGGTAAAATAAAGGCGGGACCGGTAGTGGACATTCTTGGAGATGAAATGACAAGAATTATATGGGATTTAATTAAGGAGAAGCTCATCTTGCCATTTCTAGATGTAGAACTTCACACGTATGATCTTGGAATTGAAAACAGAGACAAAACGGATGATCAAGTGACCACAGACTGTGCAAATGCCATTCTGAAATATAACGTGGGCATTAAATGTGCAACAATCACTCCCGATGAAAAGCGAGTAGAAGAATTTAAGTTGAAGAAAATGTGGAAGTCTCCGAATGGTACAATTCGAAACATCTTGGGAGGAACAGTGTTTCGTGAAGCCATCATCTGCAAGAATATTCCTCGTTTGGTGACCGGTTGGAACAAGCCGATTATCATTGGCCGTCATGCACACGCTGACCAGTACAAAGCCACAGATTTTGTTGTTCCTGGAGCAGGTAAGCTTGAGCTTAAGTGGACTCCAGCAGGTAGTGATTCTAAAGAAATTGTTCACACTGTTCATGAATACAAGGGGCCAGGTGTTGCACTAGGAATGTTCAATACTGATGAATCCATTACAGCCTTTGCCCACGCTTCATTCAAGTATGCATTAGACAGAAAATATCCACTATATCTGAGTACCAAGAACACAATCTTAAAAAGGTATGATGGAAGATTTAAAGATATTTTCCAGGAATTGTATGACACCAAATATAAGCCTCAGTTTGAAGCACTAGCTATTTGGTATGAACATCGTCTGATTGATGACATGGTGGCGTATGCTATGAAGTCAGAAGGAGGTTTTGTTTGGGCATGCAAGAACTATGATGGAGATGTGCAGTCTGATACTGTTGCCCAAGGGTATGGTTCTCTTGGGCTGATGACTTCGGTACTTATAAGTCCTGATGGTAAAACAGTAGAAGCAGAAGCAGCTCATGGGACAGTCACACGGCACTACCGCTTCTACCAACAAGGAAAGGAAACTTCTACCAACCCAATTGCCTCAATTTTTGCCTGGACCCAAGGGCTAGCCCATCGAGCAAAACTGGACAACAACAAACCTCTTGCAGATTTTTCAAACAAACTAGAAGCAGTCTGTGTTGAAACCATTGAAGCCGGTGACATGACAAAGGACCTTGCAATTTGTGTTAAGGGCATGGCTAATGTGCAGCCTTCAGATTATCTGGAGACATTTGCTTTCATGGACAAGCTGGCAGAAAATTTGAAGAAGAAGCTGGCTGCATGACTTCAAGAGAGTAAACTGTAATTATAATTATTTACTCCCTTCCATAGGGTTACTGTATTTTATGAATTGATGAAATGGCTGCTTGTAAGCATGGTCACGGTAACTTTTAAAATGTGAATGTTGCAGGATACTCTGGAAACCAAGCATTTAACTGATTCTTATTCATTGTCTTTTTTGGATCATGGTTAATTGATATTAGTTTGGTATTAGGAATATTTATGTATGATATTATTTTGGTATCAAGAGTAATATATTGATGTCTTATTTGTTGCATTAAATGCAAAATATTACATGTTAATATCTATTTATTATTTGCTCTAATTATAGAAAAACTTTACAATACAGTGACCATATTACCGGTCTCTGAATGTGTTTTTACCGAAGGGATAAACTGTTCAAATTTTGAGTAAATGTGTGTTTTATTTTTGGTTAAAGATGGTACTACAGATTGCTCTGGCTTGCTTAATGTTGCTAGTCACTGTATTGTAAAACATGCTAATTTAAAACTGAAACAGTACTGATTGTCAGAGTGCCAAGGTTATTAAGATTTATTCTTCCTGATGTCCAGTGTTGCCTATAATTGTTGTCCCTATTGATATGATTAATACGGCAGTTCTTGCAAAGGCGTGGTTGGATTTCTGTGTCACTCACCAATAAGGCACTGATCATAATGGGATATTAATTTTGTCTTAACAGCAGCTGTTAAAATTTTATTTTGTGACATTAGTGTTTGCTTCAGGCTTTTTCAGCAGAGAACCATTCTGCAAGAACCTATCAGCATTGGTCTTTAACCCCTTGTTAAAATGCACCATTTTGGTGTGAAACATTTTCCTCAAAAATGCTGAATAATGCGTAGGAAAGGGAAAGTATTATTCAACTGTAATCACTTTATTTGCTCACTGAGTTGCATTTGTTTAATGAACTTTTAATGTTTGTGATAAGAAACTTTTGTTAGAACCTTGTACAGTAATCCAGGCTTATCTATTTCCAAGGAGTATGATAGGTTTATCTACTGCGGAATTTCCAAAAGATTGGCGATGAACAGACAATTTTATTACTCTACTAGAAGTGATGTCTATCTGATGATAACCTTATGTAAAATTGTTGATAATATTATATGTTTCACTGAGCTCTGCTCACATCATTTAAATATTTATGGAAAGCCCCTTGATTATGGAGGCAGCGATTTTCATTCTTACCTATGTGAAATCCTACGTAATTTGACTCTATTTGAATCTTTCCATCACACCTATTTTTGCACTGTCATCATTGCAGAAGTGAATTTGTATTGAGATGGTTGTGATGCTAACAAGAAAAATTGAGAAAATCTAATTTTGGCTTATATTGGCCAACTATAAATTTGCTGTACATGAATTCTAACATTTTCCCAAAACAGTTCATCACTACTTAAGCTTGTTACCATATACACATATTTTAAATATCTTTCAGTATGATGAATATCTAATGAAACAGAGGGGAAATTTTGTTTTCATAGGTGCTGTAATTAGCCCTACTGACAGGCTGCAGTCACTTTTTTCTTTTTAAATATATTCATCTTAATATTGCATTTTTGCATTCTCCTGTTGGTATTATTGTGTGAACTGTCAGCACATCTTTTTTATATGTTGATAGAAAAGGCATGTTTTGGGCATCTTTTGGTGGTAAGTACTTATGAGACACTTGTTATTGAATTATTGCATTGTCCTGTATGCTGCCTTATTGAGATGGATAAATTTCAGACTGGTTAACAATTCATTTTGCAGTCTGGATTTTCTTATGAAATTATTAAAATTAATTTAATGGTGTATGGGGGTTTATCATTATGACTTAGTAATGCTACATGTTAATTGAGTCATAAGTTGATATGATTTGCAGAGGTAGTAGTAGGTAACATATTGGAATATTAAAAACATTAAAGTGTGTTGCCACATGAAGTTATCCATGGCAGAATTCAGTCAAATTTTGATATAGGTTAGGTTATGGCAGGTACTAATGTTATGCTGTGCAGGGCATAAGAATGTTCTGTTGTATGGATATAGGTACTGTAGTGTTGGGTGTGTTTGTATTTTTTTTAATATGTTCCTTGTTAGATGTAGTCATTTGATTTGATAGAAGGACGTGGTTAATTTATTTCCTGCATTTCTTTGTAATAGTTGATATTAATTTAAGGTTTTGTTAAAAGCATAATGGTGGATTTTGTGATTCAATGGGTATATAATCTTCATTCAGATTTAAGTAAGAGATCATAAGAATTATGATGGTTAAAACTTTAGAAAGGAAAATCATAGAGATTGTTGAAGTAAAAGAGTTTAAAGATGGCTGTTTTCTGGGTTGTAGCACCATGTATGTAGTTTGGTAGAAGTTTACCAAAGTTTCAGAGGTCTCTGCTGCCTCTTATCAGGGTTATGAGTGACCCAGAAGACTGCTATCTTTGGACTGAACTGTGAAAACCTCAAATCCTAATGGAGTTCAGCCTATACAAGATTTAAAGCAGTGATATTACTCATTTAATGGTATGAAGAAACCAAATTTTATTTATTATGCTATATGAGTTGTATGAGGACAGGAATAACAAGGCCATTAAGGTATGTAAAAATAACACATTTTTAAAATATCTTTTCCCCAAATTTTAAAAAAGCATTTTTCTTTAATTATTTTTTGTATATAACTTCAGTTATGAGTTTAAAAGTTGTGGCTGTGTTGAATGAGAAATATACCCCATCCCTGCTGTATAGTACATAGATAATAACCTGATATTCATTAGTGTTAATGTTGAGGCATTTGTCATGTGTACTGTTGCTATGCAAACACAAACTGAAAGTGTGCATCTTCAGCTGTTTTATCAGTTTATATCCATTTTACATCAGCCCTGATATTAGAAGCTTCTGAAATGTTGGGATTTTATTTAAACATGCTATTTATGGCTGAAGATGGTTTTATTTAACATTACTGTAGTGGCAGGTCTGCAACTCTAATTTCTTTCATGGAAATGTGACATAGATGAAGGACTTAAAAATAATGTTAGATATTATGCCCTCCTAAATGTAGGTTAGTCCAGTATCTGCAAAGGTTTCCACTTCCTCTGTCAAGTTTAAGCACTGCTGAAGAAGACCGTACTAACATACATTTTAAGATAAATTCATTTTCACTCTATTTGGGTTTGTTCATTATTGCTTTCTATGAATTTGACACTTCAGGTCGGTTCACATTCCTTCGAAAGGGCTTATTAAAATTGTGCCGTTTGTTCATCTGTATGTTTTGTAAAAAAAAAAAAAAAAAAAATGATGGCTGAGTGGATTTTCAAGAAATTTGAAACTGGAGAGTTTTGTTAAAATGTGTTTCCTTTGACGGAGTTGCATTACATTTGTTTTCACAATTCCCCCTTTTATTTTAGATGGGAACAATATTAGTAATAGATACCTCTAGTTCCAATACCGGCAGCTAAGAATGTGAACGTTCTCTCAAATCTTTCCCCGTTCCTGTCCATGTGTTACAAGGGATACACAAACATTAGTAGAAGTCTGTGCTATTGTTTCTTACACGTGTGCATTCAAGGTGGTTGAGAGCTGTAGTACAATAATTTATGAATGATGTTGGGGAGACATTTCGAGCAGCAAATGAAAATGAAGTTTGTTCCATATTTGCCATTGATTCTGAGTTACAACAGAGTTTCTGTGTTGCTTTTATTGTGACTCAATTTTTACAAAATGGAAACAGTTTGTTTTAATATAACATGTAAATTAATTTCCATGTTTGCAATGACTGAAAGAAAGCAGGTGCTACAGTCTGGATCTGATAACTATGCTTCTTTTATCTATATAACCACAAAGTCTGATAGGGCCATCCACACCAGTAATTTCTGTTCTTAGAAGTTAAACACGTTTGGTAAGGTGCAGTCCACGAAGTATTACATACATCCAGCTGCAGTTATTTTGTGTTAGCGTACAGATGGTTGTTTTCTGTGTTGTTACGCTGTGTAGCCTAGTAGAAGTTTACCAATGTTTCAGAGGTCCTTGCTGCATCCATCTTCATTCACCCTGGTGAAGGAGGCAGCAAGGCCCTCCGAAACGTCGGTCAACTTCTAGCAGATTATACGGTCCTATAACCCAGAAGACAGCCAACTTTGTTCTCACCGCCACAAGAACCCCAAATCATAGTTCATTAAATGATACAATTTCAGTCGGGAATTTTTTTTTTTTTTTTTGGTGTTTGTAGATATAAATATGTTGCAGAGTGTTATTAATATTAAGGGTCTGTTGTTCTTCTTCTTATTATTATTGCGAAACTTTTTCAAAATGACTCTAATGATATTCCATTTTTAGTATATAACCACAATGGTTTACATTGTTGATATGTTGGTAATTGTTTTCAAATAGCATAAAATACCAAATTTATCATGCATATTTTCACTGATTTATTAGTTATCATGGTCAAACTAAAAGCTAAAGAATATTTGCATGGTCACCATATTATTTTTTTTTAAAAAAAACGTAAAAAAAGTATTATGTTTTTCAGTGATCTGTCACCATTATTTTAGGACACCATGTTAAGTGGTGCTAGTGTAAATCCATCCAGTGGTTGGAAAGTTGAAACTTGCAGTCATTTGTGATCATCTTCATGTGTGTTTAGTTTATGCTGTCATACAAAGTATGCATAATAATTAGTAAAAAAACAACCAGGTTAGTTCATATGGTGAACATGAAAATTTATCTGCTGGCTGAATGACAGGTATGTTTGAAAATAATGATACTAAGTGAAATTTTATAGCAAACATGTAATCATATAATTTATCACAAATTTTAAGTTACATGTGCCATTGCATTTGCATTTATTCAACAAGACTAGTGCAGTAGAAGTAAATGACACACATAACCTCAGACTGGGAAAAGGGACATGAAACTAAAACTGGTTTATTGTTTATTTAGTGGACATTCTTACTATAATTACCTGTACTGAACTCTTGAAAGTTTCATAGCAGAACAGTTTATTTGATTTCATTTTAAGATATTTTTAGTATTACATATGCAGTGTATATTTTTATGTGGAGGTTATGTCTATTTTCCTATTTTTATGTTTCTACGTATTGAGCCAGGGTAGCTCAGTCAATGTAGTATTTGAATATGGACTGGATGACCAAGGTTTGTTCTTGGGCCGGGGAAAAGAATGTTTCTTCCAGCTTTCTATCAAATGGTTACTGGGGGCATGACACTGACCACTCACCCCCATCTAATGCCAAGGTCAAGAATGAGAGGAGCTGTACCTCTTCCCCAAGTGCCTCCATGGTGTGTAGTGGGCAGC